TTGTCAAGGTTCTTATATATTTTGCAGTACTAATAACTAAACATTAAAATGTAATTACGTGGAAAATAAAGGATTAAACTTACAAATGTCATTATAATGAATTTATAGTGCCGGTCCAGAAATACATTTTCCATATTAATTATAATAAATATGGGCACTTCAAATTTAAAATTAAGAAGCTAGACATTCTCATTTTTCCCAGGATTAATTTAATACAGCTGCTATTATATCTCTTAATTTCAGAGCTACAGCCACTGTGTACTATTAAACAACTTTGTATAGATGTGATTTAATCTCATGATTAGGAATAAAATAAATTAGACAGCAACCTCTCAACATAGTATTATCTGAAATGTGTTCAATTATCCTCTCCCTTGCAAGTTGGGTATACAACCGTTCAAAAGCATTACATGAAATTAAACAAAATCAAGCTGCTTTCTCTGTACAAACAAAATACTACAAAATAAACATGTTTAGTCCTTCTGGCCTTCCACTGGGAGTTTGTTAGAGAGACAGAAACATGTACACAGAAGCAGATGTAGAAGCTATATAGAAATTTGCCACTGAAAAGATTAGTCTGTGGCAGCCAGCCAAAGAGCCAAGAGCCACTCCACAGTTCACACACACAGGATGCACAGGATTTAACCATCCTGGAACAAGAAGTCACATTCTTGGTTGATGACCATTATCATGCACGTGGAATTGCCTCCCACCTTGAAACCATCACATGGTTCCTATATTAGTGTAGATTCAAGACCCAACACTGCAAAAGTGGCCTCAGTGTGGTGACCAGCTTAATTTTTACAACTCCTTTCACTAAACCAAGAAGAGAGAACAGCTCTTCCCAGGTGCAGCCTGACAGCAATATTTGCATACAAAGTGAGGCTGGAAGTTTCTTAAGACACAGAATTTTTGCAAAACAACATGCTCACCTTTCAAGTGATGAAGGGCAAGGATGGAAGGGATTGGTGATTAACATACTGAACTACCTCCCAACCCCATCTTTGGAGACACAAGAATAACAACTGAATTAGCACGCCTGCCCCAACAGCATAGACCAGGCAATACTCAGCTAAATTCTACAAAGCCCTGTGTGTACCTCTACATCTCTGACCTACTCACTCTATGAGGAGCCAGTTACTCTAAGTCCTTGGAGTCAGTGGGAAGAAACAGCCACTTCTAAGCAACAATTCTTCTGTCCTATTTCACATTGGGCTCTGATGAATAAGAGTTCTGAAAGATCTCAAACTCTGTGAGGTGTACAACTTGGTATTTGTTTTAGAAAAAGAGATCATATCCTTTTACACACCTTTACAATTGCTGGGAAGTTTGTTCAGCTGGGATGTCAAAGGCATATTTGTCCCTCTTCTAATTTGTATCAGTAGTCATTAACAAGGTCAACAAGGAAGAAGAGCTCTTGAAAGTAGAGCCTGACATTCTCAAACAACTGCCAACGGAAATGCTGTCAGTGTTGGCAGACTTCTGGTTAGATCCATAAGTGAGAATCTGAGTGCCATTCTAAGTATCAATGGACAATACTGAAGTTCAACAGCTGCTCCTGAGCCACTAGGCTACCTCCACCCACATGCCCGAGAACACAACGTTAGAGTACTCTCAAAGAGCTTAAAAGCATGCTTTTTCTCTCTCTCACTTGGGATAAAAAGCAATCTTTTCCACTGACTAAATTGAAAAATTATTCATTTTAAAAATTTAAATATTAATAGGAACAGGAATAAGGACTCGTGTAAGTTGTGGGAAGTCATGTTCACTCTCCCTTTCCATTACAGTGAATACCTACTATCATGAAAACAGCTTCAGTAAGAAAGAATGAGAGCACTCTAACAAAGAATATATGGCAAAGATGTGCTTTAAAATGGAGAGGGGTGAAAGAGGACTGAGATCTTTTTTTCAGCCAGAAAAGTACAGGACGCTGGTCAGTCCAGGGTAAGTGCTCTAACCATGTAAATATTGTAGGGAGGGGAACAGAAACACTTCATCCAGGCATTCTGAAAGACTGATCCCTGCCTCCATCACTGCCAAATGGGCTTAGGCACCTAGTACCAAAAGAGGCTACAGATTTACAAAGTCTTTGAGAAGACTGGAGCATTCCTCCTTCCATGAGGAAGACAGATGTCTTCCAGAGAGTAGCATGTTTTAAAACATGAGGCTCTCCTCAACTTCCACAGTCAACAACTCTCCTGTTTTGAAAACTGACTTTTAGACAGCTTACCAAGGAGACTGAAACAGCTCTGGCATTCACTTACACATCCAACCTGCCATCTAAACATACTGGATGGTCACACACAAAATGTGAGGCTGGTTGCTTGAAGGTTTTGGACTTTCAAGTTAGAACATACGTCCAGAGAGGTGCACTTCTTGCAGATGAGATACATGGGGAGAGGAAGAAGTGCAAAACAGAGCAGGGAAGGGCTAAGAGGAACGACTTGGGTACAGGAGGGCAATCTTTTCCCTACTACTTTCTCTTGTTGCCATACCCTCACTTAAAACTCTGAGCATCTGGTAGTAGGATAGAAGATGATTTTAAAGGATGGTTTTCCATTTCTATCAATGCTTTTCTAGAAGTCTTTTGTGTTCTCTCCACTGCCAATCGGCATCTGTCAGTGATAGAGAAGTGAGGAAAAGATGAAGCTAGGAGAGAAGCTGCATCACATTCTCTGATGAAAAGACACCACCACCCCTAAAACCATTTAGTGAAGTAAGCAATGCAGCACAAAACAGCTGCACTGAGGCAGGTTATATTCTCCTCTAATCCAGTTTCCTCTCTCTGACAGTGGGTCAAAAGTACTACAAAACGTGACTACAAAATCCAAGACATGCATGTGGAGATACTTCCCAAAGTTCTGGTCTAGTTTCTACTGATTTAGCTACCAAGGACAAGCCACATTGTTAACGACCATGAGTCAAGCTCTTGTTAACTTCCTTGGTACTGTAGACTTGCAACCCACAGCAACCGTTGGCACAGTGGATACTGTTTGAAAGCCATATTCACAAACTTAGTGAGTTGCCCCTACCCTGCTGAAATCAACTTGCTTGAACCTTAATAGTTATCCCCTACAGAAGCCCACTAAGTCTTCTAGAAAACAGTCACTCTTTCTCTAACGTAATCCCCCAGCAGACATTTCCCACTATTCCTTCAATAAACAGTCAAACACTTATCAAGCCAAAATGATGTCTCAAGGAACAGTATTTGTAGGCCTATTATTTAGAGATTGTAAACTATTCTCCCTTGCATCAAATACATTTCTGAGAATTGCTAAAAAAATAAAACCTTTTTTAATGTTACATTTTTAAAACAAACAGGGGCATCTGCAGCTTCCTACTCTGACTTTAATCTCAAGATGAATTAGCATTTCTTTCTGAAGCTGGTATGGATTTTATTGCATACTTAAGTTAGCATTATATTAAGACATGAAAGGAAAAGATGTATTTTTGTCACATAGTCATGATGAATATCAGCTGTCTATCACTCCTGGAGGCTAACTGATACTCTGCTGGAAAGCAGAGGCAAAAAGCATAGTAAGCTGTTCAGGAAAATAATTTTGGTGGTTAAAATTTATCTTCTGAGAACACCAGTTTCAAAACTCGAAGCTGGTCATAAAATAATTTGTGATAGCAGAAAGCATATAATTACCTCCTCATATTTTACTTTCTTTTGCAAGCAAGAAACACATTATACTGAATGAATGAGATTGTTCCCAGCTCCACCGGATGCACCCTGAATCCTCCCCATCTAATAGCTTACTGTGGGAAAAGAAGTGAAGCAAGCCCACACTGATTTGCTCTGCAAGACAAAACAAATGCTAAAGGTGATGCAAAGCACCAAGTTTTACCTAACCTAAGAAACAAGAACATCTGAGACATGCAACAAATCTCAGTTTAGAAAACAGCGCTTATTTGGTTTTTTTCAGCCATGAGACCTGCAGTACAAAACGTTACTGTCAAGAAAAAAAAACAAACAAACAAAACTTAAAGTATGAAAGATACTATGCTGTCAATGTGCTTTCACAGCACTTTTCTCAAAAATTCATATGGATTTTTTTTAAAAAGAGCAAAAAATTAGTGTTGGCTATATGCAACATTACCAGCTCCAGAGCAAGATGCGCTTTCTTCCGTAATTACAAGAGCTCTCAGTAAATATTTACAGATAAAGAGGTCTACTCTACTGTTTCACCAATTTTTTTCCTTCTCTCCTAAGTGTTCTTACACAGGTGTCTTTGTTTTGGTTTATGACTCCCTATATTTTTCGCCATTAAATACATTTATAAGCAACCAATTACACTTAATTTCCTTAAAAAGGAAATTTCCTTAAAAAGGAAATTACCATTACTTGTCAGTAACTGATACAGCATTTAAAAAACCCCACATTTTACTTATAGCAATATGTCTGACCCCACACCTACATAACTGACATTGTCATCTTTTTGAGATTGTATCATGTTGCCAGAATTGTTTCTATAAAGCAGATTAAAACCCATCTTTGTCACTCAAGATGCAACACTTCAGAGTTTGGCTCTAGTCCCTCCATGCTCAGCAGAGAATTCCCCTAAAGTTCAGGGAGGCTTTCCAGTACATCAAGACCTGCATGTATTTTCTCCCATTGCCAGCATCCCTGCTCTCTAAAGATGCTCAGGACATCTCAAATAGGTGTGATGAACACCTCCTGATGTCACATCAAGGAACTATGACTTCCTATAGGACATCATGCAGTGGTTGAAACTTTACAAAGCTATGATGCTGCTCTAGAAGTTTGCTTCTGTGAAGAACAGAAAGACTACAGACAGTGACACAAAGAAATACTTTGCAAAACACCAGCATTTCCCCCAAGGCATCTGCGCCTTTAAAGCCCAAATTTGCTTACAAATGATAGAGCCCTGATACTGTTGCATATTTCACATATTGTAAGTGACCAGGAAATATACTGAAAAGTGTTCAGCCAACAGGGTAGCAGCTGCACAGCTAGGAAAAAAACCACACAAACAAAACATAAATCCCTTTTAATTTCACATTTACTGAACAAATACAATATACATCATCAACTAACTAAAGTACAGTCTGGGTCAGGCAGGAATACTTAGCTAGCCAGCTGATCCACATACAAATATCAGTCTCATTTCAAGTCCTTCTGCTTAAAATAGACTGCACACAGCAAGGTTGATCTCGCAAGCTGCAGATCCCTGGAATTCTGGTGTTCCATTTATGCCAAGCATATAAGCTCTCTATGGTCAGGGAAGACAGTTTTGTGCCAATCCCCAATTCAATCAGCCTCTCCAATAAGACACCTGTACCATTCTAGCCAGATCCTTATTTTAGGAAGACTCGTTCAGTAGGCTCCTAATAAGGTGCAAATGAAGTGACTGCAGACTGGGCCAAATCTCTCAGTTCTGCATAAAGTGCAAGAACACTGGTTAGATCCAAAAAACGACCATATATGTAGAAATCTAAAACAGGAACATGGACCCTTAGGACATACTACAGACACCCAAGCTGGAATCTGCAACAAAAAAGACATCAAGCAGCTTCACTCAGGACACCTACATGAAGGTCCCTTAAGACTTGGTCAGCCTCTAGCCTCTGCCTTGTAATTACAGTCACGTCCATCAGATCAAAACAGGAACCCAGCACAGCTGCATTCCACAGACTCTTTTAGGAAAAACAAAGATAAATGGCCTCCCCTGGAATATCCTCCCTCGGCTTGCAAATAATCCCATCCTATCTGCGCTAAACAATCCTGCAAAAACATTTCTGCAGCAAACACAAGACACCTGTTTACAAGGAGTTAAAAAAAAAAAAAAAAAGGCAAGCAACCTGAGGCACTAAAAAAAGGCAAAACAATTTTGACAGTGTCTTTGACTTTGATGCCTCGGCCTCTCCAACTATCAATAAAAAGTAAAAAAAAAGCCAGATTCAATCTACGTTTGAGACAATAGATCACAGATACACATTTCTATACAGCAGGAATAAGACTTGGGCAAAATGACTTAACCATGTCCATAAAACACATATAAAATAAACCCAACATGAACAGGCTGTAAATGACTAGTTCCTTCACATCACAGATTTCCAAATTACAGCACAAAATAGTCTGGGGACCATATCAGAGGTCCTTATTTCCAGTAGCTATTTTTAAAGTACATTGAAAAAATTAATTGAATCAATTAATTATTACTATTCCAGAAAGATAATATATGGTCACAAATGACCCCAAAAAGAACCTAAGACAATCCATGAGAAAGAAGAGAAATGGTTCCAAGCCCCCCTGTTAATATCTCATCACTGCTATGAAAAATCTTGGAAACCCATGTCAAATTAAAAGTTATCACGTTACAGAAACAGAGAAGTTTAAGGATGGTGTCACCATATACAGCAAGACAAACACAGCTGCTAGGAAAAAACTTCCTGAACCATCTGATCCAATGAAGATTTAACAAGAAAAATTAACAAAGAAGATTTAACAATGAAGAATTAACAATTTCAGATTTAAAAGATAGATGGCAATGCTGTTCATTCCAACAGTTATAGCCATGGTATACTACATCCTGTACAGAATGGTACCACTTATTTTCAATGTTTTTCCTGAACTAAATCATGGAATTTGGACAAGTTTCTCCTCCTACTGGCAATTACCAAAGCTAATTGTTTTTAGCGTGGTGCTTTTCTGAACTGATGAGACAACAGGCTTTTATGTATCAAATACAAACAAGGCTACTTCTTACCTAGAGGAATAAAGTGTATCTAATGCAAATAATAAGTTAATATATTTTGAGACATATTGGAATGTTTGACTACAGAATCAAAAGTAAAATCTTACTCAGGTGTGCACACACACAGAGAAAAACATAGCTATACATAGCTAAAGCCACTTCACAGTCCAATAAAAGAATGTGATTACATGTTAAAAAAATATATTGCAAACAAGAAATTTAACATAAAGTTTCAAGAAAAGACTTGTCTACTGTTTTGCCATCTTCAGCAGAACTTTGAGAACTTTGCCTCCAGAGTAGAATGAAGAAGAGTCAGCTGCTCAGGTAGCCTAATACAAAACATATAGGAAAATGCCTCAGAAAGACAAGCAAAAAAAAAAAAAAAAAAAAAAAAAGAAGTGCCTGATAAAAGAGTCCCCTGACTAAAGTGGAGAGTTTAAAATTGTTTCCTATGCAATCACTCCTCAATAGAGCCCAGTATTTCCTATGTACATGTTCTAAGTCCCAGCACCATTTTTATTATAAAACCTTCATTCTGTTTCTTCTATGCTTTATTAAAGAAGCAGTGCAAGCTGCACTAAATCAATACTATTCTTTAGCAAAGTAACTAGAATACATGCCTGAGCCTACATGACACAAAATATCATGTAAATAACTCCCAGTATGTTTTTTAAGAAGAGTATGGATGAAATGTTGTCACCTTGTAAAAGCAACAACAGCCAAACTATGAGAATAAAGAAAACTGAAAACATCTCTTGAGGAGTGAGAGGAATAGAAAATGCTGCAGCATTTTCTCTTAATATAACAACATAGCATCCACGTGGCCAGTATGGCAAGTTAAAGTTTGTCATATTCATGACAGATGAAGCAGACTCAAGAATTAAGGAATTATTTAATTTCAGACTCAGAAGACTCTCTAGATGACCTCTAACAATGACTCCATCAAACAGCAGCCTGGTATACAAACATCCTACATAGCTCATTCACAGCAGAGTCCCACTCTCTCTGCATTCAGGTACAACAGTTTGACTGTGTTCACTCAAGCTGCAAGATCTAAGCTATTGTTTACACTTCCTAGTACAGTCAAGTGTACATTTACTAAAACACAAGTCCATCAATTTATATCCTGAGAGCTGAATCCTAGTTCTACTAAAAATCAATTATATTTCACTACTATCAAGTTGTCACTTGTTTGGTTGTTTGTGTTTTTTTTTTTTTTTTTTAAATAAGAGGTGTACTATCTCATGTTACCATATCTTAAAAATCTTTCAGTTTATTGTCCCTTGAATACTCATACATAGGGGGCGAGGAGGGGAAGAGGACCCAGACTAGAAATCACTTACACTGTTGAAGTACATCAGTGTATTTGTATCTGGAAATCATCCTAAGGGCTAACATTCAACAACCAAGTACCATCAATTTATTTATTTAAAACTCACACAATCTACCATTTATTTAAAAATACAGTGGTTAAAGGTAAAAGCTTATCTTGACAGAATTTTCATTTGGTAATTAAAGATTAAAACATAAAAGTATAATAAGTCACCTTTCTGTAGATATCCAAAAGAAAGCAATATTATCCTAGCACTCATTAGAGTATGTTAAGTCTCTCTCTGGTATTTGTGAGAGTAATTGCTAGCCTATTGGGATTACAAAACAGTAAGTACTAACAATCAATTCTTTCAAGTATTGTGTGCCTCAGGATCATATATATATATATATATATATATCTTTATATATGTATATGTTTATTCCTAATGGTTAATTTTCTATAACTATTGTTAAAATCACGAGCACTAATTCTGTAAGTTCACCATTCAAGGAATTAGATAACTTTGCATGAAGTTATACAAGACTGATTCCAAATCCAGACATAAATGTTCAAAGTTCTGTGCTAGATCAAAACTAATTAGTTGTAAATAATTTCATAATAAAGTGCCTCATTGTAGTTCACAAACAACTTTCACAGTAATCATCAACACAAATCTTCATTGTGTCTGTACAGGATTGTTACAATGAAAGCGTTAACTTTTGGTTACGTTAAAGAGACAGTATTATTACAGTTATATTTCATTAAATTTGACAGAACTAATTGCTTGAGACTGAAACCTCTTGTAAAAGATGCAAGCCCACCCTCGTATAAATTTTTCCAAAATTTTATGATGTAAAAATGAATAATGTTAGAGCACAACTGAGTGCAACTGCCTTATAGAAGAACTTTACCTCCACCTTTCCATTCCAAATCTCAAAATTCTGTCACAAAAGGTCTTTTTTAGGTGTAAGTGAAAATTTTGGTTAGACACATCACCTAACTTTTGGCCTTTTAAAGTAAACTAAAAAGCAATTCCTGAAGTTTTTGAAAAATCAGTACCAGAGAAACCACTGAAAAGACTACAGAAAAAATTCGCACCTGAACTTCTCAGTAATTCAAGCGCAGGAGAGATCATGGTAGTTAAAGCAGTCGACTCAGTGATGTAAGAGTTTTGTATTAACTAGAAAACTGATTAGGTTTGCATCTGTTTGTCAATTTTACTCTAATACTTTTAAATAATCTGAAATGTAACATTACCAGTTATTGCAAATAAGTTTCTATAGCCTCAATTATCTTCATCGATGAAGTAAGACTAAGCCAAAATTATCAGTTTTCTTGTTCTTGAGCATCTATTCAACATCACTGTTTTCTATGTAAGAGTTAAGCCTAACTCTGCCCCAAAAGATTGTCAGATGTCTTGTTCGATCAATCTTGTGACTTCTGGTGAGCAAAAGCCTAGATCCATATCAACCAAAACAAAAGCTTGTTCCTAATTCTCATTCCATACATTGATTTGACAATCCTTATCAATTTAATGAGGTGTTAAACTGGACATTATGACTGCCTTAAACACTGTTTTTTAAATAATATACTGCTTCAGAGGAAACTATGCATATATAAAACTGCTTTGATCTTATTTTATTGACACAATTTTTCCACTGTTATGAAATGATTTATTGATTTGTCTTTGAAGAGAATCAAAGTCCTGCGCCTCACGTTGCACTTAAAGTGGTGTTCTTATTCTACTTTAAGGTATCTGTAAAACAGTTTTGTAATTTGAAACTCAATGGAACAGTAAGTTTCATACCTTACACTCATCATCATGCCACATATCAAACAAACTTTACTAAAGCATCACTTGGGAAAGCCTGGAAAACTCTCCACAATGCTCTACTGTTTCTAAGAAGCTTCTGCTGTTTCTGATTACCAGCAAGTTTGCTATTTTGGCATCACACTAAAGCCCCAGTGCCTCCATTTCTGACCCCTTCAACAAAAACAAGCTGCTCAACAATGTCTAATCCGTGCGTCATGTAATCCTGCTTAATACCCTACAAACTCTGGGTAATATTTGGGTAGTTTTTAAATTTAGCAAAGAACATCCTGGCCTAGTTCAAAGATACCCTTGCCTTGGGTAGTGTCCCCTAGAAACATCATCCACACTAGTTTCAAAGAAAAACAAACACACACATACGTATAACAGAAATGAACAACAACAACAAAAGTAAGAGATCCTCGTCTAATGACATAATAAAAACATATCAAATTACAAATCAAATTACTGAAATGGGAATGCATTATGCAAGCACCAAACACGCCATTCAAACAATTAAAGAGACATTCTGTCATTCTAACACCACTTATGGTGTTAGAAGCACAAGCGCAAGCACATCCAACTCCCTGCTTGCAGCGAGAGCAGACTCTGCCGCAGAGGATAGCTGGTACAGCCAGCTAAATCACACAAGGCCAAGCCTTCCTCCCATCAACACTGAGCTATTAAAGAAAAGTCAGTTATCACTCCGCTGGAGAAACAGAAAATCCCTTCTTTGAGACACTGCTTTTTGAAGCATCATTATCTTAAAAGTGGCTCATACTAAAAACACTACCAAAGAGGTCTAATCCAAATTCCATTATAATTTTTCAGCATACTGTCCTGCCTAAGATTTCTCAGCCTCTTGCTGAAGGGCAAATAGGTTCCTATTTTGTTTAGGCTGTCAGGCAAACAGTCTCCAATCATTAGCCTCTTGTCAACAGCGATGCTGGGCTAGATTACTACTGCAGAGTGCTTGTAATGGCAGGTGCATGGCCCTGGGGCTGCCATCTGCCAGGAAGGAAGTGTTCTCTTCTAGGATGCTGAAGAGATTGACAAATAATGTAAACAAAACACTGAATCATTCCTAATCTACGCAATAAAGCTATTGCATTACCCTTCTGCAGTTGTAGATGTTACTATCAGAGGTGCAGATTTAGGTTTGTGGCTTGGGTTGGTTTTTTTTTCCTAACTAGTTTTGTGATTGATTTACTGAGGTAAAAACACACACTCTAAAATAACTTTTATTTAACTAAGACAGGCAATTCTGGATTTGAAAAGAAAACACCCTAGTATCAAAGATGTTTATTCTGGGAAGTATCTCCCCACTGTTACCTCATAACTCTTTCCAGAGTATATAGCCCTTTACTGAGAGCAAAAACTGGATTTTTTTAAATTACTATTTTTGATACACCTACACCACTTGGGGTTATTATCATTGATAAAAAATTCAGAACATCTGTTTGGAAATTATTTTTTAAGGCAAAAATAGTAACAGAACTCCAACTATTGTCTTTGGTCTTTTAAATCAATTTCTAAAGGGATTTCTTATCATTGCATTGAACAACTCTCCTAAACAATCCTACTTTAGTGGCCAATTTGACACCTCAGGTACCAAGCAATAGCACAACTCCATGGAAATATTCAGGCACTTACCTATTCTTCAGGAAAGTTACTCATTACCATTTGACTGGCAACCCAGAGATTACAAACTACTGCTGTCTTTGAGTGAGCCTCAAATGCTACTGTATGTGTTAGCACTTTAACATTCCATGAAATGTATTTTTAGGTGATCCTCTGTAAAAATGTAAGCAATCTCTGCACTGATTTCTCTGTGGTTTGGATGAGGCTTATAATACCTAAGTCTTAAAAGCTTGTTTTAACTACGAACATTTACAACCCTGCAACTGAAGGATTCATTCAGCCTATATTAGTGAGTAAACTGCAAATACAATCTAAACCAGTAATCCTGATTTCCTCCAAAGCTGACAGAGATGCCAGGGAAAAAATCCATGCTGCTTTTTAACTTCCATTTAAAAGACAGTGGGAGCAGTCACCTTTGCTGGCTCTGTTTACTGCTACATGTTCTCCAGAGTGCCTAGCAGACTGACTAATCCAAGAAGCCAACATGCTGGATAGCTAAAGGCAGTTGACACAAACATAAGCGTAGAAAAACTCAAACAACAACAAAACAACACACACCAAAAAAACCACAAAAAATTTTCCTTTGAAAAGTCTGCAGTAGGAAAGCCAGCCTTTTCAACAACCACCAGCAAGGGGACTACTCAGCTGAACTTGGCTTTTCAAAGCTGCCACTCTTGACCCCCTACATGCACATGCACAAAAACTTTAAAAATAACTACATGCCAGACAACAAACACACAAAGAAAACATATCTGAACTTTTGGGTCACTATCCGGTCTTCTAAAAACTTAAGGGATAGTACTGTTTTCTACGCTTACAGAGATCCCTTCAAGGAAACATTTTACAGAACTACAACAAAAACAGTTGTGAAACCCTCATAATTACATGTCCAAATTTATCATATCAGTCAATATATTCACTTTAAATTGCTATGACACATACTGCACCAACCTAGTGTTAAAACTTCCACAAAACTGCTGGACTATATCATGACTAACCTAACAAACACAAAGAAAACAACATACGGACAAATAGTACAAAAAGCATACAATACTTAAACAAAATCAGAACAAAAAAAGTCACAGGTGTTTATTACTTTAAAAAGAAATATATTAATGGTGCTTTTAGATAAAAACTGATATAGACAGACAATATCTGGATGTAACTATACTGCCATTTAACTGTTGAATAGGGATGGAAGTTGGATTACATACACTAACTAAATTTTTCAATGGATGCTTGCTGTGTTTCAACTTATAAACTACTTCAGCATCCCAGTGTACTTAATGCTATTTAAAAATAATAGTAAATCAAGTGTGAAAAAACACGTTATTCTCTCCTTATTAAAAAAAAAAACACACCAAACATAAAGAATGCCACCATAGAAAATATGTCCTAATACTCTTTCTGTTCAAACACTCCTTTATTCTTTTTACTTACAAACCAACATTAGTCTCTGTAGCTATCTTGAAAGAAATCAAGTAATCAGAAGCAATCATCAACCTAAAGCATTTCCTCTGCCTTGAGCAATGACTGTACTGGTTCAGTTTAGAACAAACCCACCATTCAACTTGGTCTATAACAATTTATCTTAAATGACTCAAAATAACCATGACATTCTTTCTATAAGCAGTACAGCTATAAAGTGTAAAGAATAAAAGTCTAATAGACGTCACGCGTTTTAATATTCTATCTGCTTGTAAAAAGCTGACATCCCTATAATCAACATAATTTAAAATACCAAAGGCTTTATTTAATGTTAGATAATTTCAGTTTATATTTCATGTTTCACAAGTGGCACTGCTAGGTTCAGACATAAGCACTTTGGTTTGGTCAGCTGTAAAATGCTATCTGAAAGACTAAGTGAATTTTGAGATGTTGCAAAAAAAACCCCTCAAATTTTTAATTCTTACTGTAAGTTAAAAAATCAAACTATGTAAGTTATTAAAAGCAGTTCATTTCTTTCTGCTGTTAGTTTTGATGTCTTCACAGAACTTAATACTAAGAGAAACTACTACAACTGATTTATTATAAAAAAAAAGACTTTAAAAGCTGTATAGATTTCTAACACAGCATATATTTTAATATTTTGAAGAAGTAATTTTACAGTTAATATTAGTTTTGCTAAAGAGACAAACATTCTCATGTCACTCTGAGAACCAAAACTTTATGGCAGCTGGCATATGAAGAGGAAGAGAAAAACCAACTTAGTAGTATAACCCACTGTGCAAAGTAATCCCAAAGAAAAGGGAAGCAAAGGTTATTTCTTTAACAATCTAAAATGGCATTAGAAAGACACAAGAAGAGATTTCTTAACATAGGCTTTTTATTGTTTAGGTGCAACCATAAAACCCTCACACAGCTGAAAGCTAATTGACAAGGCAGGAGTGGGGGTCATGATTATCAAAATCACCTTATTACGATCTTAAGTAGATGCATTACAGATGACGACTTCTTTAAACAAATCAAGACAAAAGAAACTAACATGGGAGGAAAAGAACCTTCAGCTTTTTTTGCAGCATTACACATAGTATCTGCCCATTTTTAGAAAACTTGACCAACTTCTAGAAACATTTACAAGTTAAAGCTACAGAGCACTCTGTGAATGGAAAAGAAAACATAACTAAAGATTAACCACCCAATTCTGGTGGTTTCAATTAAGCAAAATTCCCTACTATACACCCACTAAATTTAATGGGAATCTTACTTAAGAATTTCAGGATTACACACAAAGGGTAAAATCCCCATTAAGACAGAGACAAAACTACCATTTGACTTCAAGAGAACTAAGATCCACCATAAAAAGTCACATCATTATTGGGTATAATCTGTCATAAATATACTGGAATAAATAATTTGCACTATATGAAAAAAAGAGTGTAAACATCTCCATAAATAATTAAATCCATACACTGTTCATATGTTTTTAAGCAAAAAACCAGTCATAATTCAAGAACAAAGGCTAATTATTAGCAAGTAACAAGCTTTAATCAACCAGTAACAGTATTATTTTATTTACATATCAGATGAAGGCAATTGTTTCTCCAATTATTAAATATTTTCACATTTTCAGAACACAGTAAAACTAAATGAAACTATCATTTCAAGCAACCTCTTAATTGTTCTGTTTTGACAGCAGCTGTGGATGCACTCCTTGCTTCTACCACGACAGGATAATATAGACAGAGATTTCCAAAAGCACAGCACTCCCTGCAGCAGAGGCAAGTTACTGATTGTAGAGAGACAAGCTACACGTGAAAGCCAGCCATCTTTAAATGATATAGTTTCCCTCAAAACATTTATCCACATGAAAACACAACTACTGCTACAAACCTTAAGGAACAATTCAAACTGGTTTTTTACATGTATTTTGCACAAATCAAAATGTTAATTAATTTACTAAGGAGCTTGTTTGTATACTCTGTATCTCAGAGTCTCCTGTTCTAAATATTAAAAATATGTAGATTCTTCATTGTTTTAAAATTACTAGGAACTATACTTGTTTTTCAAAGAAGTAAAGCTTCTCGCTTTTCTAATGCAGTTAAAAACAAAATCTGAAAAGTGCAAACAACTAAACAAACAACACTGATTATATAAGCTCTCTCTTTTGCAAACCATTTTTACAGAATTAGATTTTCTTAACTCTCACCTGCATTACTACTGTTAAAATAATCTTGCTTATATGCAAAATACTGTTTTCTTTAAATTGAATGTGTTTCTCTATAAAACGTGAAATTCTTAGTAGCCTCCCAAATCACAATGTTTGAAATTCAAGTACATCAGCACAATATTGGTTGACCTTTTTAAACGGTGGCAGGAGTCCTTCTCTAAACAAACTCTGGTGTGAAATCCCAATGAAAACCAAAAGGGAAACTAGGACATTTGCAAAAGTTTATGCTTTGATTCAAGTTAAACCAATAAAGTCCTTTGTGATGTATTTCTCTTTCCCCATGCTATGACTTTCCCAGTTCGACTACCACAAGTGCAATTAACTTGATGTCTCAATTTTGGTACCCAACCCTGCACACCATTGGTTCTTCCTTACCACCTTTAGCCTGACTCTGTTACATTCATTTATCCCTGCACCCCTGAGTGCACCCCTCAGGCTGGCACCCCTCTCAGGGGAACGAGGTGCTGGAGATTCTCCGCCCACCTCCTACAGAGCCGGTCAATCCCAACGAGCCTCCCCGCACCACTTCTCCAGGTGACCTGCGTTTAGAAGCTTACGGGAAAGAGGAAAAACAAACACGCATGCAGATTAAATATTAAAATAAGGCAAGCCTGTAACCATCCTTGGACAAACACACGCAGCAGCACTGAGCCCTCTCCGCTGTACGCCGAGTACCACATTAACACGGCTGCATTATCCTCTTGTTTACTGGATGGGAAGGACAGCGGTCGTTCCCCCCTCCTTATCTGACCGGCGGCCTCTCCCATTCCCGCGTGTCGCCGGGATGCCAGCCGCGCTCCCGCGCCGGGTTTTCCCGGTAACCGGTGCCCGCCCTCCCCCGCCCCCTCCTCCCGCCTTAGGGTCAGCAGTTTGGGGAATGCTGTGGAAATAGCTCTTTCCCAACACCGGGCTTGGTTTGCAGTTGGGGCTGTAGGTGGCTCAAGAAAAGCTCCTCGTTTTTGTGAAAAATCCGTTTGCAAAGCAAAGGGGCGTGATCGTCTGCTGGCGCCCGGGAACGCCATCCCAAGGCCGGGCAAGGAGAGCGGGGGCTGCAGCATCCACACCGGGCTCGGGCAAGCCACAGGGATCCTAAAAACGACCCCAGAAAACTAAAAGCAAGACAGAAATAAGGCTCTGCCCTCAACCCTTCCAGTCATTCAGAATAAGCCTTCATCCTTTCAAACTCTGACATTGCATTCAACAATCCTCTCGTCTTAATTAGGTTCAAAGCTTGCTCTGCAAACGGTGGATCTCTCATCTTTTCCATCTTCCTGTACTTCCTATCAAAAGAGAAAATATTTTCTTCTTCAAAATCAACTAGCTACTAAGAAAACACAAGGAAAAAAAAAACCTGCAAGTGGCTTTTACAAGCTGTTGTTGTTCACCTGTTATTGACGCCTCTATAGCACCGTGAATAGAGAAGCAATACTTACCCCCTCCAAGCAACTACTTTTTCATACGTCATTTCAACCAGCTAGACCCATAAACATGTATAACAGCTATATATGCATAGAGCTTTAAGCTACCATGTCTTACACAAATTCAAGAGCCGAGGGAATCCTTATGGTGTCTTATCATTAATATCTTCTCCTTGACAGATTGGCTATTTTGTGCCCTCCTCAACCAGCCCCCCAGTTGTGTACAAACCCTCACTCACTGAGGGAGGTGGGTTGCTATTTTGGGGAGAAGGGAAGGTATTTGTTTCGTTATTTATTTTTTTCTTTCAACAGCATAACTAGCACCCCAATAAAGGAACAGCTACATACTTAAAACCTAAATTCTCTCTCAGATAAAATTTCAAATTTCTTCAATTTGCTTTTATCTTTGAACACCCAACATTTACAATCCATATAAAAGCAAGCCAACCAACTGGTTATCCATGCTGGGACTGAGCAGTCAGCTGGAACATAGTTACACACCCCCACAGGGTGGGCCCTTAAGTGAAATATGTGATACAACGTGTAACATCTCAAGCATATAGTGACTTCTGGAAAGAATTATTACAGTTTTTTCAATTCACATCCCATGCTTACCATGATTTATTGTTAAACTTTTGCAAGAGATAAGGTACTTCAAAACCATATTAAATTTATCTTTCTCATTTTCATATTATAGATCTTCTCAGCTAGAGAGCCAAGGATTGTTTTTGTAATCTGATGTCCTCAAACAATCCTGTTTTTAAGTCAACAATTTCACATTTTTAAGCAGTATTTAGAAACTGCATTAACATGAAGTATTTTGGTCACATTTTCCAAACACTTTCCAAAATTTTATGCAAGAAAACTGAAGGACAAACCAAACATAGTAACTGTGTAAACATAAGCTTCTTTTGGGATACCCAGAAGTATACACTCATAATAATGGCACAGTAGAACTGAAACATGAAGAAATATCCCAAAATTAAACCTTTTTTTTCATACAAAGAGCTACCAAATTCCTCCAAAACTTCTTATTACAGGATGTGTACAAGGGGGATAAGAGTGATTTTTAAGGAAGCAAGGAGGGATAGTGCTGTACACCACAAACACACAACACGGTGATGGCAAACAGTAGGCAGAAACAGACATAGCAAGCACTGTCAGACGTAGCTACTCACCTTTCACAGCACTTGCTTCTTTCAGGTTGTGAGACAGAAAGTCTATGCTGGCATAGGCGCTCATCTCTACTCCATTGATGCCCCCATTTAGGAGGTGCCTGGCTTTCAACCTGGATTTGTCACAGTTTGCCAGGGACCCGTCCACCACATCAATGGCGATGTAGTTGAGGCCATTCTGGAAGCCAGCTGAGGTCTCCCGGCACATGGGACTGCTACCCTGCTCCTCCTCCAGGCCTTCGCTTTTCCTGAGGGACACATTCTCCACTGAGGCCGAGTTGTGTCGTTTGGGGTTGTGTGCGAAGGAAGGGGACACTGGGGTCACAGTGGTGGTGGAGGAGAAAGTTTCTGAGCTGTGTCTCCTCCGCCCCTGAGGATCTGCCCGGATGACTTTGGCCCCCCGGTTGGGGTCTGGGGGAGGGCTGGAGAGAATGAAAGCCTCCACCCCAGAGAGAGTGAGCCTCTTCACCCCAGCTGTGGGGCTGGCGACCCGGGCACTTTCTGGCTTCTGAAAAATGGGTTGGGGTGGCGTGGTGGCCATGCCAAAGGTCATCTCAGTGTAATCCCCACCATCTGACGGGCTGGATGAACAAGCCACCCCCACAGCCGCCTTCAGGTAGCGCCCGTTGGGCTGGCTGGTGCTGGAAGAAGAGCTGGGTGAGAGAGCTTCCAAAGAGCCCACTGAGACCACGCCTGACTGGGAGGGCGACTGTAACCCAAAGTCCATGTTCATGTAGTCAGAGAGCGGGGAGCGCCTCTGCCCTGTGCCTGAGCCCAGGGAGGAGGCTGGGCTGTCAGCAGGCAGTGAGGGGGAAGAATAGACAGCAGCATCCCCAAAGTCAATGTTGATGTATTCGCCAGGGCTCTTGGGCTCAGGCGGCAGAGGGTGCTCATTCATGCTGGGCAGCACCGTCCGCAAGGTCTCCAAAGAGAGGCGGCTGGGTCGGGCTGCCCGCTGGCACCGCTGGCTCAGAAAGCTCTCGGTCCGGCTGTGCCGCAGAGGTGAAGGCACCGTGTGGCTGGATGGGGTGAAGGTGCTGGCAGGCGACTGGCCCACTCCGCACCCCACCTCCTCTGGGATCATCCTCCCTGGGGAGTTCATGAAGACATACTGGTCACTGTCCTTCGCCAATCCCTGGCTCTTGTAGGAGCGGGGTAAGGAGCTGTATGAATAGCAGCCGGGCTTTGAGGGCTCGCTGGACCCATGCCCTGATGGGGTGAAAAAGAAGTCTGGGGGGGTAAGGGAGGGAACCTGGGGCACATGCTGGGGGTCCCGAGGGGACATATTGATATAGTCACCATTACTCAGCCTTCCATCTGAGCTCTCCACAGATAGCTTGGAGCCACACCACATCCGCATGTACCCACTATCATCAGGGGAACTCTCCCCAGGTGAGCTGGTCTTGTAGCTGCTCCCGTTCCCAGGGGACCCACTCCCCACCCCTGCCCGGGGCTGCAGGATCTGCTTGGGGGCAGACACGCTGGTGGGGCTCATGGGCATGTAATCATCACTGCCCCGGCTTCCCTGCCCTAAGGCTGCGGCCACACCGGGGGTCATGGGCATGTAGCCATCATCATCTCCCCCACCACCACCCGCTGGCGGCGGCCCCAGATTTGTGCTGCTGCTGCCGGAGCTGCGGTGGGAGCCGATCTCGATGTCCCCATAGTCCTCGGGGTACGGGGTGTAGGTCACTTTAGGGGAAGCCCCAGCTTGGCAGGAGGGGAAGAGGCGGCCGGCACTGCCGGCGAAGGTGGCGCGCATCAGCGTGTACTCGTCGAGGGAGGCCGAGGAGACTTGCGGCGGGGCGGGTCGCTGCCGGCACGGCGTGGTCAAGGAATAGGTCCGCTTTCGATGGCACCTGTCGCCGGCGGCGTCGGGGCAGGGCCGGTAGCAGAGGCGGCCGCTCGGGGGCCGCTCCATCGCCATGTAGCCGTAGAGATCGGTGCCGCCCCCTGGGTCCCGCACCGGGGGTGTCTCGGCCACCGACTCGGGGGTGTTGCTGCGGTTGCTGGCGGTGGAGGAGGAGGAGAAGGGCCGCAGGTCGCCGCCCGGGCTGGAGCCGTACTCGTCGAAGGACATGAAGCCGGCGTCGCTGGGGGAGCCGGAGACAGAGGCGCTGCCGCTGGACGGGCGCTGAGGGTGATGCGGGTGGACAGTCTCGGAGCCGAGGCCGCTGCTGGAGGACAGGCTGATGGGGCTGGTGGCGGAGGGGGGCGAGTGGGAGGCGGGCATGGACATGGAGCGGCTGCTCTGCAGCCCGCCGCCGGCCAGCACCGGCAGCAGCTTCCCCGCCTGCCGGCCTCCGCCGCTGCTGAGCGTGTGCGAGCGGCTCAGGGGAGTCCGCACGGGGCCCGGGCTCATAGGGCTACCGGCTGCCGAACCCACCCGGCAGCCGTCACCCTCGCTGGCCGTCCTCACCCTGCACGGCGTGCACTTGGTGCCGGCGCCGGCGGCGAGGCTATCGGTGCGAGAGCGGCGGAGGAGGCCGGTCTGGCTGGGAGGCAGGTTGACCAGGTGGTGGTGCCGGCGACCGGGGACGGTGATGGGGTGGGTGGCGGAGGCGCTACTGCCGCCGAGCCCGCCGGCCCCCCCGGAGGAAGACGAGGAGGACGACTGGCTCTTGCTTCGAGGCCGGAACTCGGACAGCTCCTTCAGCGCCTTCATGGCCTCGAGGATGGTCTCGTGGATGTTCTGGGCCACCACCGAGTCGTCCGCCTGCATCCAGAGCTCGCCGGGGCCGGTGGCGGCTGAGCGCCCCACCTCGATGAAGAAAAAGCTGTCGGAGTGGCCGCAGCGGCGGATGTTCATCAGCTGCAGCGTGACCGAGGGCAGCTCGCAGTTGAGACGCACGAACCCAATGGTGCGAGCCGAGAGGCAGAGCCGGTGGACGCCAGTGAGGTTTTTACTCTGCCCTAAGCCCTTGGGCTTCAGCGTCACCTGCCAGACCTCCCGGTAGGCAGCGGTTGCCGGCGCGATGAGCCCGTAGTTGAGGTCTTCCCCGGCGGCGGCCAGAGAGGCGGCGGCCGCGCCGCAGGAGGCGGAGAAGGGGGAGGCGAGGTGGCGGTGGGGGGACCCCTGGCAGGCCGCCTTGCCCTCGTTGAGCAGATCGGTGAGAGCCCGGTACCAGCCCTCCTGCTCCTGCTCGTTCTCGGCAGCCACGGCGAAGTACTCGTCCTTGGTGTAGAGGGCGATGAGGTACTTGTGCTTGGCGTCCGCCCGCTTGTTGATGTTGAGGCAGGAGTCCAGGGCGATCACCCGCTTGGGTGCCCCAGACTTGTTCCTCCATTTCTTCTCGCTCTCGTAGTACTCCAGCCGGGCGCCCCCCGCCTCCTCCCCGCCGCCGCCGCCCGGGCCGCGCAGCACGAAGAAGCGCTTGTGGCCGTGCTTCTGCTTGCGCAGGTACCCGCACTTCCTCACGCCCTGGTTGTTGTTGTTGTTGTTGTTCAGGTTGGGGCCGGGCGGGGAGCTCAGGGGGGGCAGCAGCCCCAGCACGGCGGGGCTCGCCATCCCCAGCCCCGCGCCGGGAGCACCGCCCGGCTCCTCTCGCTGCTGCCGCCGACGCCGAACGGATCCGGGAACCGAGCGCCGCGGGGACAAAAAAGAAGAAAAAGAAAAAATAAAGAAAGAATGGAGAGAAGCGGGTAAAATAAAGTTATTCCTCCGTAGAAGAACACGGCTGCCCGGAGCCGCAGCGGGGTCCTCCGCTGTCGCCTCTAGGCAGCGGGTGTTGCCGACGGCCGCCCGGCGTCCTTCCCGGCTCGGGTACCGGCAGCGCCGCTGCCGCTCCCGGGCCGCCGCTGCCGCTGGTGCTGCCGGCGCCGGCGGGAGTTTCGCCGTAAGTAACACATCGCGCTGCGAGTGCCCCAACTAAAGAGCAAAACAACACGTGACCGCCGCCTCACCGAGCGCTCACACACCGAGACGGGGCGGGGCAACAGCGGCGCCGGCACGGACCCGCATTGGCCGCCACGCCGCAAGAGGGACGGCTCGGCCCGCCAATGGGACTGCAGGGCGGGCTCTCGGGTGCGAGGCGACGCAACATCATTGGTCGACGGCAGCCTCGCCCCCCACCCCCTGCCCGCCCCCCCGCGCTCCCGCCCACACCCCGGTCCTCCCCGGGCCAGCAGGTCCCGCCTCCCGCGCCCCTCCCGCCGGTGCCCTCAGCGCACACAGCGCAGAGCGTGTGGGGGGCGCGGGCACGGGTGGGACACCGGTACACCCGACAAAGCCCGGGTGCTGCCCATCGCCGCCCACCGGGACGCGGCGGGGCGCCGGCGTGGCTCTCCGCGGCCGTCAGGTGCTGCGGACCCGCCCGCTGGAGCTTCCGGGCGCGCGTGTGCGCGGCGGGCGCCCCCTGCACACCCACCCCCCACCCCCGCACACACGCGCGTGTGCGTCACCCGCCCCGCACACGCACGGCCGCTCCGCGCGCGCGCTCCCCCGCGCGCTGTGTCACCCGCGCCCACGCGCCCCCCCGCTCCCGCAGCGCTCCCCGCGGGGCCCCGCGCGGCGGGGAAATGCCACCGAGGGAGGGCGCGGGCAGCGTGTGCCGCTCTTCAGCCGGTTTTAATCAAACAACATTAATTTATCCGGGCGTTTCGCCGTAGCGGTGAATAAGGGCAGCATCCGCGTTTCCTCTGGAAACGATCCCGGCCCCCCTGGGGGAGCGCGGACCGGCGATCACGGAGCGAGCGGCGGCGGGGGCAAAGCAGCCTCCGGTCCCCCCTCTTCCTTGCTCCCCGTTCTTCCCCGCTCCCCTCTCCTCCTTTCTCTCCCTGCTTCCCCTGCCTCCTCCCCCTGCCGCCGCTCCCGCGCCTTCACCGGGCGCGCAGGGGCTCCGCGGGGGGCGGAGGTGCCTCGCTTGTTTACCGCGGGCCCGCACGCTCGTCACCAGGCGGGCCGCGCCCCGGCATCAATGGGAGCCTTTCTCTCCCCGATGTGGGGGGGAGGTGAACGGCGGAGGGGCCCTGGCCGGGGTGGGCGGCAGGAGGGGCGGGGGTCTCCCTAGTCCGCATTTTTCTCTGTGCGGCGGGATCGGGGGAAGGAAGGGGGAGCGCAGGGGCCCGGGAGGGGGACTGCGGGCGGGGATGCCGGCCTGTCGCCCCACGGGGAGGGCGTTCGCGGCGCCTCACGAAGCGCGCAGCGTGATGCGGGGAGGGCAGCGATAGGAAAGTCGGGGGATGAAGGGAAGAGGCTGTACTGAAACCATCCAGCCGGTTCCTAACGCAGCCGCATCCCCGGCCGCCTCGGGAACGGCGGGGGAAAGCGTCTCTTTGCACATGCCCAGGAGGAAAACCGAGGCTGGGGTCACGCGAACATCTATCCGCGATTTCCCGTCCCCCCGCTCAGTGCCGTCGGGACACGCTTTCATTTGTCGTCCTGCGACGAAGCTGAAGCAACCGGGTTTGCGTGTAAAGCCGAGGGAAAAAACAAACAACACAACAACTCAAACAAACAAACAAGCAAAAAAAATAGGAAAGTGATGCGGCGCCTGCGGCTGTCGTTGTGCGGGGCCGCGGCCGAGCGCTCCCCGTGCTCCCGGCGGAGCAGGCGGCGGGGCCGCCCCCAGCCCGCACCGCTGCCGCCGCTCTGCTCCCTCCTGCCCGAAATTCTCCGCGGTTTGGGTCAGAATAACCCATTTAGAAATCAACATCTGTTAACTGGGAGGGAGGAGTGTGATTGGAAAAGACCACCTCACTGTAAATACCAGTACGTCGCAATAAAGCAGCTTTTGAAGATAGACCTCTCCCTTCCTCTTACGGGAAAACATTTACATACATACGAGGCAGCAGTTACCTGCGTTTATAATTTTTTTTTTTTAAGTGAATGGGGGCGGAGTTAGAGAAGTAATTTGAGATCTGAGGCATTGACCTCTCCGCAGGAGCAAGAAAAGAGTGTAACCTTGGGTAAGATACCTGTGACCTCTATCTACCTGTATGATTCATCACAGAAAATGATGCTAACAATCTTTACTGTCCTGGTAATGTTCTTTGATTTCCATGTCTGGACAAATGCATAAAATTAGTAATTGTAAATTTAGATTATGTGTAATGATTGCATAACAGATCTCAGTGAGGACACTTTCATATGAAAACTGGGGAATAGTTGATTTTCTGGCTGTGGCTGTAGCGGTCCAGACTATCTCCTGTACTCACACTACTGAAGTTATAAGGAAATTAGTTATCTGAACAATTTCTTGTCACTCTGAGTGATCTGGGCCCATAAACACAAACTTTTGTCTGTAAACGCCTTGGGAATATGGAAGGATTTTCCCAGATATTTGTGAAATATGATTGGTGACCTTGGGCAAGCATCCTTAGGTCTGAAATGTAAAAAAAAAAAAAAAAAAAAAATTAATTCACCTATGTGATATTTTTATATCTGTTATTCTTGACAATGTGTACAATATACATTTGATATACTGGCTGTAGCAGCAGAACTAGGTTTGCAAACAATATATATGACAAAGGCATTAGGATAGACTAGAATCCAAGGTTGCAGTTTATACTTCTTATTTCTGTATTGGCTTTGATATAAGAAACATCTTTAGTAGCTCATTTTTAGCAGTGGCCAATTCATAACAAGTATTATTTCTTCCATAATTATGTTTGGAGTTTGGTTCTTAATGCATAACCAGGGTACAGAACACAGGAAATGTGACTCAGGTGTATGTAAAATTCAGGTTAAAAAGTCCTATTGCTTCATGACCAACACTCTGGAATGAATGACCCCAGTTTACATAGATGATCTGTCTTAGAGTTTTCTCTGAACTCCTCTGAAATGCTCTTCAACACTATATCCCTTCTGAAAAATTTTTGCAGTCATTTCATTGTAATTACAGGGGCATTTAATTACAAGAAATGCATTAACACCACTTGTCCATCCCTGCTCTCAGCTACAGGTGAGAGGTTCTACAGCTGCCATGTCTTATGATTCAGCTGTTCGTAAGTGTCGTGTAGGATGTTAGCTTTATTTTTCTGAATAAGTGGCTTTTCAGAGATACAGAGGGCTGTGAATTGGCATGGTTGAGCATAACATATGCATCCTTATTCCACCAAGCAACTTCAGGCAGAACACAGAGGTGGACAGATAGAGGCAGCAGCATCTCCAGTAACTGCAACAGATCTGCCAGAGGATGTTTGCTTAATTTACCCTCTAGAATAATTCCATCACATTGAAAGAAAAAATGATCCTGTTTTACCATCCCATTCCTTTTCTTTTGTCATACCACCCTTCCCCATCTATTTCACTACATTTATCCTTTAGTTTGAGGTCTCAGCTGGGAATACTTTGCTAATCCGGAAAGTAGACCAACCAAATAGTGCTAATATTAGCATCTTTCCTGCCTGCTAAACTATGCCTTTGCCAGCATACCATGCTTCAGCCATCTACTTTTTCCTCCAAGAAAAATAAACTGTGCTGGGCAATGGTCAGATTTATCAAAATATACTATCTATGTGAGGGGCATCAGCTATGTCAGTCATAAAACGTTACTTCTGTCCACCCTAAACTGGCAGAGGCATGCCTAGAAAATTATCAACCTTGTTTTGACATAGTTTAGATATAGCAAATACAGTTTTACCGGCACAGAGCCCTACTGATTGCACATTTCACAAGGCACTCGGTGTTCCTTAGCTACTTTAAAAAAAATAATAATAATTAAAAAAAAAAAAAAGAAGTGTGATAATGACATTTATGCATTTATGTATAAATATATTCAAACTTCATGTTTTCCTTACTGAACTGTATGGATGGATGCTAAAGAGTGGCCTGCAATGCTGTTTTTCAAACAATGAACTTCTCAAGCCATTAGTGAATTTTGCTTGGGAAGGCTATTTGAATAATAGTTAAATGACTGAGTTTATTACTTCTAGGAGCATGCAGCTGGATTTAGTTACGTGTAGAAGCTTGATTCTACAAGCCCAACATACACAGGATCCAGTTGGGGTTTTTTGTTGTATGTTCCACACATGGCCCTCTACATTAGGGGATTGAAACACGAGGCCCTATAAATATGTAGCTATATTTAAATACTGCCCAAAGATACCTAGTTACTCAAAAAACACTTTCTGAGAGACTGGATGCATGAGTAGGTTGAATTTCAAAATTTGTGACATCCTTTAAAAATATGTTTTTGTTTGTTCTTAGTCTAAATCTCATTTTTAAATATCTTTCACTTTCAGGATAAGAAGTAACAGTTGAAAGGGATGTGTTTGATGTTTGGCTTGGCTGTTGCCTTCTACCTGTTGCCAGGATCACAGAGCTGATGGTAGTGAAGCCATGGGAAAAAAGCGCAGAGAAAGACTATGTGCGTCAGCAACACTTTCTTATACTATCAAGAGTACAGTTATCTGTTCCAACAAAACAGAGTGATTTATATTTTGATGTCCTTGAGCTTCTACATAAACAGGTGAAGTCAGTTTATTCCCTGGTACATTTATTTGCATATTTCTGATACAGTGTCATTCTGGTTATATATTTCATAACCTTACTGTAAGAGGACATGAACTCCCATCAACTTCTTTTTCACTACCCTTTCTCAACTCCTTTGAGTGGTAATGTACCATGACTGCACAGTAGAGAAGTCTGTGTTACTTGGAAGGAAGGACAGACCATTCTTCCATATAGTTTTACAAAATACTTTGTTGATACTACTCATTTAGTAACTCCTAACAGCTGGCTGTAGTCCTCTATAGCGAGAGTAACACTAAGTTGCCCAATTACCTTAAATTGGAGCTGCCAATGCCATCCCCCCACCCCCCGGTCCTGAGTAAACAATTATGGGTGGCTTTGTACCTGAGGAAAAGATATTCAGAAGGCCTAGATTCTAAAAATACTTATTTCTTAAGTGAAGGTTACTTGTTTCAGTGAGTA